GGCCTGCGCGGCGGCGGGGGGGTGTTTGTATCCAACGGGATCCCGGCCTGGGGAAGGGAGCTGGGCCCTGGGCGGTCAGGCAGGACGGCTGAGGCTGTGCGTGGGCTCTGTCGTTTCTCCCTCCCTGGGGTGGGGTGCCCACTGGAGGTGTGAGCCAGGGCCCGGGGGCTGCTGCCCTGTTCCTTGCTGTGGCGGCCTGTGTGAGCAGTGTCCCGAAGGACGGTGCTGTTGCTGGTGCGGGATTGCTGGCAGGCTCTGCTGCAGTGCTGTCTGCGATGAGAGGAGACTTGTGGCCGTGGTTTGGAATGACTGGGATCTCTGTTTTCCTCACAGGCTGCACGACGACACACAGAGCCTGTTTGAGTGAGACCAGGATGGAAGAGTCCAATGGGGACCTTCCCACCCAGAGAGACACCATCCTGTCCGAGCTGTGCTGTGATCATGTCACCGTAACAAACCTGTGAGTCTGGTGTGCTGTAAGGGACAGTATGTTTGGCTGCGAATGCTGTTAAGGCTAAAACATCTCCTCAGGAGCAAAATTTTTCCTTTCTGTGTAACTACCCTCAGACAAGAGATACCCTGATTCACAGCCAGTGATGAACACTTGTACTGCCATCTGAAAACAGCTGGTTTGGTCAGTTATACGCTTTGGTGTCACTTTTGGGTTGTAGTCATTACTTTTCATGTGCTATAAAACTAAGCAGAAGAATTTATGATTTTCAGATGATTGTTTCCTATTTAGGGGTTACGCTGAGGGTGTTTTCAAAAGCAGTCATCAGATCCCTTTTATGAAAGATAGACAGGCTTTGCATGGAATGTAGCACTCGGTCTGTAGAATTCTTCAGAAGTTTCTCTATGTTTTAATGCCTCTTGAAGATCTGGCCCTAACTGTGAATATGACCTTTCTTTGAAAACAGAACTTTCTTCTATCCATGGTCTTAGTAATAAGTAGCCCTTAGTACTTGCAGTGCATAACTATTATTTTTACATTTTCTTAGCTACGCTTAACATTGTTCATTTAGTAATGGTTTACTGCACATGGAAACTATAGTTTTATTTTTTTAAAACCTCTCTTCTGTTCTACAGAATAAGGTTGGCAATGTGAATGTGGAGACTGAGTAAATGTAGTGGTGCCTGCCTTGTTAGGCTGTATGTTGTTCTTTTGCCAAAAATCCAGGAATATCTGCAGACTTTTATACCAGCATGAGTTTATGTCGGATTTAGAACTCAGTTCTGCAGCTTTGCATGATTCAGGGGGAAGGAATTATTTTTAAAACTAATTTTAAAACTACATTTCCAGTATGTTGATGGAAATGTTTGTTTTCTAGGGTGGAAGTGCTGAGATCTTTGGTGGCTTTAACTGACCCTCAGGAGGGAAAGCTGACTCAGTCTCAGGAGAAAGTGAGTGACTAACAGACTTTCCATGTCTGCTTACTGCATAATTTCAGAAGAACCTATAATTAGGTAGTTGAGCTTATTCTAATAATATATCAGAACTGTTTCTGTAATTCACGTTTTTGTGAGTTGAACTGAAGTGTGTGCTTTCCAACCCTGTTTCTCATTGCATGGCAAGCAGTAGTGTGATCAACTGCCTCAGTTCTGCAAGGTTCCCTTCAAGCAGGTGGCAGATTGAATCAGGTATTCCAGCCACCACTGGCTGGTGTGAAGATCACACTTAGGTCTTTTTACTGACTGAAGGGCCAGCTCTTGCAGACCCTTGGTTGCACCCTCCCCTTGGTTCCATGCACAAGCACAGCATGCGCGATTAGTTTTCTCAGTCCAGTGGGACTGATCTCTTGAGCTGGCTCATTTTCTGATTCCAGGAATCTAGTAATGACATGAGAGCTTAAACCCAAGGAAGGAGTGGAGCTTGTACTTTATGTCACTTTAAAGCAACCCTGAAAATGTAGCCCTGACATTTTTGTGGCTTCTCTGCTGCTGACCTCCATCAGTGATAGTGTCCTTTATGATAGGCAGAACGTGATGATTACTGGGACAGGAGGTACAGTGGCTAATGCAATAAAGGATCATAACGGCCAAAAGAAAGTGTGAGAGATTAGGATGTGGTTTTGTGGATTTATACAGTATGATAAATTTGGAGAGGTCATTACTGTCTCCTGGAAGATGTGTAAGACAGTTACGGGGTATTCAGATTTGCTCAAAAATGTTATGCTCATCTGTTAGTAATAGGACCTGCTGTAACTTTCAATGCAATTTAGCATGCAACGCTATTTTTCATTACTTCATATTCTTGAGTCTTGTCTAAGTCTTTAGTGTGCATCCATTCCTTAAATACTGTTTTTATTTCAAGCAGAATTGCTTAGGAATCCCTGAAGTACAGCTGCCTGTTATATTACAGTAATAATTATTTTGCACGGCACAGAACGATAGTCTCATACCTGGTTCTCATTTCACAGCTGAATTTTTATGCTCCTTTGTATTCTAGGCGATAAACTCACTGGGCATCTGGAAAACCATATTTGCAGCTGTTCCTGGGCCTACGTCAAAGACATCAGTGGAGTGACAGCTTGAAGATGGGAGATCAGGATGCAGGTGAACCCTTTCTGGAGACTGTGGCTGGTGGTGCCACAGACTACGAAGGAGCTCTGCCCTCAGACACAGTGTCGCTCAGCGATTCTGATTCCGATGATTTGGGGTTAGCGGATGAAGCGGAAGTTGATACAATATCTCCTGAGGAGCCATCTGTAGATGATGGGGATTACAGATCAGGGGAGACCCCTGACTCTTCAAACAGCTGTCACAGATCTCCTGTCCAGCCGTTCCATCTGAGGGGCATGAGTTCTACGTTCTCTCTCCGTAGCCAGAGCATTTTTGATTGCCTGGAAGAGGCGGCCAAGTTGTCTGTGCCCTCAATGCCTGAAGATAATGTTGTTGATGGGAGGTTTAAGCGTCCATTGCCTCCAAGCACAGTTTCAGGTAGCATGGTTCCAGAAAGCCTGGGAAAGCAAGCCAAACCAGTGCAGGCTCCCAAAACCTCTCCTGCAGTGCCTGATTATGTGGCACACCCAGAGCGCTGGACCAAATACAGCCTAGATGGAGTTTCAGAGTCTAGTGACAAGACTAACAGGGCAGTGGCCATGGAATTTCTGGAGGGTTTGAAGAAAAGAGGGGAGGAACAAAGCTCAGCTACCCAAGATGGCTACACCCCATACTTCAACCAGGACCCTTCCAGCTGTGGAGCTGGGAGGATTGTCTTCACTAAACCAGCAAAAAGGGGTGTTGATGGACTGGAAAAGAAAACATCAGCAGGGGAGGATAATAAGAAACACATGAAAACAGATCTAAAAGGAAAATCTTTTAAGAAGACTGATGACTTGAGGGAGGAAGATAAGGTAGAGCTGGGGCACTTAGATAGTGGAAGTGGAAAGGCAACAGAGGAGGAGGAGTGCATGATGGTGGGGGACCTGAATACAGGCAGTAAGCTTAGTGCAAGGTTTAGTGGTGCAGGTGAAGAACCATCAGTGGAAACAGTTGGATTCCACTGCAGTAAGAAGAAGAATAGGAAGAATTTCCGACCTAAAGTAGATGATGAAGGGGAGGAGGAAGAGTCCTGAAGGATGCAGCACATTGGAGACATCCAAGGACTTGTGTTGTCTTTGGATATGTTTGGTTTTTTCTCTTGACTTTTTTTCCTGGTCTGGAAGCCATGTGATAGCTTTTTGTCTAACGGTTTGCATCATAGCCGCCAAGAACATTTTATATTGTTAGAAATTAAGCTACCTAAAATACACTCCAGACTTCTGTTTGTGAGAAGTCTGTGGGCACAGGATAGTTGCACCCTAGTAGGAGAGAATAAGGTGTGCTTTGTTTGCTTGAGCAGCTCCCTGGGGCTTGCTCTGGAGCTGAAGAGCTGAAGTAGCCAAAGAAAAAGATGCGTTAGCTAAAAGGTCGCAAGGCTTCCTACTAACCCCCAAATTTCGAGCTGATCCCAAATGCTGTAGAATCCTGGAACAAAGATGGTGAGCTTGTTATGTAGAGGTTTTTAAACAATGAAAATAAAACCTAGTTTTCCACTAGATGTGACTTCTCCTGGCCCTGTCCCAGGGAGGGGTGGTTTGTTTTTTTTTTTTAAACTCTAATTTTTTTTTTTCCCCCGCCCCCCCAAATACATCCTTCTCTCATTGCTGTTGAGAGTGAAAGCACAACAGTGCCCAACCATGAGTTTGGAGGGCCCAGGTGGGAACTGGCAAAATATTTTTTTAAGGTTGGCTTAATATTTACATTATTTAGTGTTACATGATAAAGATTTTAAAAACCACAATGTTTCCTGTGGAGAGGTACAACTCTGGATACATCCTGGTGAAGACACGCTCAGGATGACTTCAACAAAGTCTCACCATATTGACTGTAGGTCAGAATTTGCAACAGCTTGTTTTTAAGTTGGGCAGCAGCTTTTCCTCTTACTGGTATGATATCATGTGATGATTCTTGGCCTGCATGTTTGTATGTCCTTTCCAGGTGGCACTGCTTCCACTTTGATTCTGTGCATGGATTTGCTGGGAATGAGGCATTTATACCAGAACTGGATACTTTTGTTCTTTGTGATTCAATAAACTTTAAGTTGTAGCTTGATTTCTTCATCTCTTTGAACCATGCTGATTAATGCAGCTATAAGACTTTTAACAAATACTTGGTTTATTTGATTTGAGAATTGTCTTGAAAATCTTCAAGAATGTTACTCTAAGCTTACAGTCTTGTAACTTCTCCCTCAAGTCTTATATTTTAGAGTCTAGAATTTATATTTTTAACATTTTCAATCATTTTACAATATATAGAGAATCACCTCATAGGATGAATCACCTCATACAATGAATCACATTGTAATGAATGTCAAGTATAGTAGTTTTTCACACAGAATGTTAATAGATTTTATAAATAAGGTTGAAAAATTAAATTCTTTGAAAGGTTGTAAAAAATACACCTCCTGTACTACTTTCTGAAAGACAAAACTTCAGTTTCCCAGAAATTGTTCAGGAAAATGCTGAAATGAGAGCAATTCTATTACTTGGGGGGAAAAAAAAATTCAGAATGGGAATAGGGGGGATCAATCACCAAAATAGTAAACAGTGTTTATAATATATTGGAGGAAATACTGGCAAACCAGGTGGGAACTTCTGGTTTGCCCCATTCAAAATAGGGCTGTGATCTAGATAGCCTTCAGGAATATGTCTGTCCCCGTGATGGGAACTGTACCATGCACCTCTAACACCTCTCCACTGAAAAGCTCTGTTGAAACAAAAGATATTCATAGGGCTTTGTGTTTGGTCTGGGTATTTGTAGTGCAACTCTGACAAAATCTGAGAACCAGTATAAGAAATGCAGCAGCCTGAGTGACGAAAGTTTTAAATAATGAAGTAGGAAAGAGTTTGTTGGATGGTGAAAGTAATGGTTGACATAACTTTCCTTTCTTTTACAGTCAATAAATAGGTATTTTATTTTAATTCCCCATCCTTCTTGAGATTTTTCTTCCCTGTTACACTGCACCTGCGATTTACTGGCTAAATCACTTCACTCTGAAAAAGAAACTCGTATTCATTTCAAAGCAGCTGTTAATACCCGTGTCTGATTGAGAGTTGCACTTCAGGTGTGGATGTAGCTGCAAGCTGAGGGAGCACTGCAGCAGGACACAGGCACCAGTTATTAGTTCCTCTGTGTAGGCACTGTCAGCGTGTGGGCCATGGTACTAGTTTCTGTAGTTGTGCAGCAAGTCATATACGTGGTCATATACATATATGTGTGCCCTGATTCTCATGGCATTGCAGCGTGATGGTAGGTTTTCTTTTGCTTGTATGACTTAACAAATACCAATTCTTTTTGTCCTTTGTCTTACAATCTTTTTTCTTTGGTTTAGTGGTGGACTTGGTAGTGTTAGGTTAATGGTTGGACTTGATGATCTTAAAGGTCTTTTCCAACCTAAACGATTCTATGATTCTATGATTTGGAACTCAAATTAGTTCAGGTCCGTTTGGACTGACTTTTTTTTTTTGCCAGTATTCTAAAGTAACCAACCCCAATGTTAGTATTTATAACCGTAGTGAAAGACTACTTTAGAATTTGTGATCCTTCTTGCTGGACTGTGCTTGCTCAGACTCTGAAGGATATTTGAGGAGATTACTTTCTCTGAGTGGGTGTCAGCATCTTATCAATAATCGACTGGTAGGCCCAAATCATTTGGGTCTTTGTGTTTGAGCAGATGCATCATTTGGCAGCAGAAGCAGAAAACAATGTAAAATGAGTAATATTGCTCCATCTTTTGAAGTTCACCTTTTAATGTTAAAAGCAGAATGTATTTTCTCATGAGTGTACGGTTTGATGCACATTAATTAATGGGTCATTGCTGAATACATCAGTTGTTCCAGTGCACGTGCATGGGATATCACAACAATTCCAAATGGATAGATTTTGGTTTCCAGTGGAAAATTAATGGCTGATCATAATTAAAATAGTAGCAGTTTCAGACTGGAAGCTGCTGCCAAGAGCAGGGCATGCTGGTTGTAAGATATGCATTATTTTCTGACAAAAAAATGTAGCTCAGCGTACTGGTTTTACAACTTCTGCTTGCCTAGGGTGAAGAACAGGTAGGACAGTACCAAAATTCCATCACTGTTAATGGGGTCACTGAGGTCTGGGGCACAACTGGACAAATGCCTATTTTATGAAGACATCATAACAAGATTAATATCTATTAATAAAAGGCTCATGTCAGAAAGGTATTTTTATCAGATCTGAGACTTTTTTTTCCCCTGCCTCTGGTAATGGAGAAAGCTTTTGCACAACCTACATTTATGTTGCATAGAAGCAGTGTTATATGCATGAGGAAATTAAGTTCAGTTGAAGCTTATCACTGTAAAAAAGACCACAACCCAGTACTTCTCCCTTGTGATGCTATTTACATTATTCCAAAGAAATTTCCCTTTAAAGGATGGTAGTAATATTCATTTTATTGGTGTATCTTTTCATACAAAATTCTAATAAAGCCAGCTAGCTTTTGTATGCTAAGAACATACATGACAGTTTAAGTAATTAAAAAAAAAACAGTCCAAATTCCTAGTTTGTAGGAAAATTCTTGCTACACGTTCTTGCTTTAAAGTCTCTAAGTGATTTTTTTTTTCCTGACCTTTGAGAGAAAAGTAAAATGAAATCAGAAAACCGCTTAGGTGCAGGTGCGGTGTTCCATGTAGTGTGGTACACAAAGGCAAAGTCTCTTAACAGCAGCAAGCTGACAGCAGCTATGATCTGGCACTGAAACAAAAAAGCAAGCAGCAGAGGCTGAGGGTCTGACGGCAGGAGGGTCACCTGCTTTGTGTTTGGGAAGTGACTGCTGAGGACCGCACGATGAGATTCCACTTTCTGGGGATGAGTGGGGAGCCCTCAGTAAGGAATACCAACAAAGGAATACTTTGCAGAAGCCAGCGTGGGAAGAGAAGACGGTGAGTGGAATCGTTTAGGGGTTGTAAGAACTCCAGGAACTGTATGGATTGTAATAGTTCAGGATCCCAGGCCCTTTCCTATGGAAACTATTTCTTGATTTCCTTTCTAAGCAACTCAAAAATATGAGCTTGCTTTCTTGGCCAAGGAAGTGGCTTGGTTTTTAGTGTGTAAATGATCACCCTTCCAAAGCGAGACTCCCTTGAACAGAGAAATGTGGAAATTAGCAATGATGACGATGGATTGAGGGTGTGATGTTTGGAGAACAGAAGGCAGATTGTATTTAGAAAATAAGGTGGTAGAGTCATCCTGGAGGAGAAAGTTTTTAGTGCGATTTGTGGAATGGAGTTTTGGAGACAGGACCAAGTGATATAGGAGCAGGAGGGAAGAAAGCCCAAGAAATTTAAGGAGGAAGACCAAGAAATCCTCAGTAGTGTCAAACATTGATAGTGCTTGGTATAAAGGCTTTGAGAGCTGGGCCTTAGGCCTTCAGAAGAGATTAGGATTTTCCTTCTACAGAAGTTCAGTAGGACAAAAGGTTTAATCTGAAGAAATGAGAATAAAATTCAATTATCAATATATGTGATGTCAGTCTCGGTCTGATCTGCATGCTCTTCTCTTTCACTTCTTTCTGGCAAAGGCACTTCTGTGTTGGCATTCATCCCACCTAATAGGATTGTAAAAGCCATGTGCTTGTTTAAAAGCCTTAGGACAAGGGGCACATAATAGTAATTGCTTAAGAAACTTTAAAATGTTCAAGATAATCCACAATAAAAAGATCCTGTAGATTCTATTACTTTGCATTTGCTCAATAAATAATAAAAACAGGTTTCTTCTTTATTTCTCATGTATTTAAGTTTCAGATTTTTATGCAGTTAGAGTAGTAAAATGTCTGGGGAACATGCTACAAGATGGTTTTTCTCACTTTAATGCTGATAATGAAGTGATTTACATATGTGTTTTATAAGCTTCTAACAGAATTAAGTAAAGTTTGAGGTTAGTTTGAGTCTTGTCATGTCAAGACTTTGCTGAGTGTCCAGCTACTTCTTTTTCCCATGTAGTATGTATATATTCAGTTTATGGGTTTTGGAGGGCTTTTTGTGTAATGGATAGTAATAGGTAGATA